TTGTGCCCAATAATGCATAATTTAATTTGATAAACACGTTTAGATTGAATGGTAATTTATAATCAGTCACAAGAACGTCGAATCTGAATCACTTGAAAAAAACACTGGGGTGCTTAACTTTTTTCCAGGTGTATATATGATGGGGAATGTTATCAAAACATTGTTATATGTCCAGTTGTAAAAGACAACTTAATTTAAATTTTATTTGTACACATACCTTTCTTGGCTGGTCATAATATGACATTTATTTCCCAATATGAGCAAAAGTTGTTTTACAACCTTTTGTCACCAAAATGAGAAAGCCTTAGCAATATACCTAAGTACATTTTAAAAGATTAGAAAGGAAAATTTATTTAAATAAAATCTACACCAGTTTGTTTATTCAGGAATTTTTTAAAGTTTTCATGAGTGAAACAGAGTAATTCAAATATTTTGAAAATAGCTAAGGCTAGTCTGATAAAGTCAGAAAACTTTCTTTTTTAATGATATAAATAATACATTTTTTCAATTGGGTTACTTGGTTTACAACTCAGGTTTGTAGAGAGATGTTTATCGATGAGTTAGAGAGTTATAGTATTCAAATTGAGGAATTGATGACAATGGGAGAGCTGGAAGAGGTGTCTAGATACTTGAAGAAAGCTAGAGAACTAGAAAAACACCTTCAGGAAGCTGCTGATAAAGTTGACCAGTTTAATATGGAAGAAGAATCATATGGATGGTCAACAACAAACTATCCTCAAAGACCACAGTTGCTGTCAAAACTTCTACCATATCTGAAGCTATATGAAGTTACTGTTGATTTCAACATGAAACACAGGTAAGTTTATAATATTGTAACAAAAACCTATTCTAATAGATAACAGCTAATGAAAATTTCCTGCTTTATCCAAAGATGTAGAAATTTGAAGATTTAACTATAAAACATATGTATATTTTGATTGATAAACAACAAGTTTCTGATTAAACATATTTAACTTAAGTGCTTGGTTAGAAGGACCACTTAGAGCAGTAAACCCTGATCTTGTGGAACAAGAAGTTGGTAACTACTGGCGGATCGTGTATAAATTGGAAAAAACCTTTAATGATTCCCCAGCTGCCAAGAAAATTACTCTACAAGTAAGAAATCTACATTGCACAAAGTTTTACTAGTTTGTTGTAGACTGTTAAAAGAATATATTTTAGGCAAGAAATACAATAGAATCATTTAATGTGATTTTGCAAATGCAAAATAGTCATTTGTATTGTTTAAAATACTTCTGTATTTAAATGTAGTTAAAATTATATTAAACCAGGATCACTTCATAAAGTTTTTATTAAAATATATCTTTGATTTGATGTATGATATTTGCTCTTTTTTTATCAATTATTCAAAAATGCACTATTGTACATTAAACATGAAGTTTATGTTTATTTACACTGTATTATTGAAAATATTGGAAAAGTAAACCCCCAGTTACTAATGGACCCTTCCCCACTGACATTGTTTATGAGTTACATGGTGGTCTTAGATATTGTGAAATACTCCCTTAGAGAAAGAAATGACAGATTCCAGAATCTCATTAACTTGGAATTACTTTACCAGCAATCACTGGTAAATGTTCATAAAATAATTTAAAGAGCACATCAACTCCATTTTGTTTTCATAAAGGTTCAGCAATTTGAAAATTTTTCAGCTTTATCATCAGAGTTCACCACTGTTGTTTATTGTATTGCTTGTATTGATTGCAAAAAAACATTAAAGCTTGAAAAATTCCACAAGATTAACACAAAAATAACACTAAAGTTAAGCCATATTTCTCATTAGCTTTGGCAGAACATGCTTATAATAAAGTAATTATATTAATTTCCAGACTATCTCTATTCAAAACATAAGGTGGCCTAGCATGGACAGGTTATTAGGGTGCTTGACTCGCATTCTGAGCGTTGCGGGTTCAAATCCTCATCCCACCAGACATGCCTGCACTTTCAGCCATGGGGGCATTATAATGTGATGGTCAATCCCATTATTCATTGGTGAAGAGCAGCCCAAGAATTGACGATGGGTGGTGATGACTAGCTGCCTTCCCTCTAGTCTTTCACTGCTAAATTAGGGACAGTTAGCTCAGATAGCCCTCGTGTAGATTTTGGCAAAATTTCAAACCAAACCAAAATTTAAGGAGATTAACCTTCAAAACAGAGAAAATTTTCAAAACATGGGCTTTTAGTAAAAATAATAATAACCTGAACTGTGACAAGGGAACCAACTTACAACATCTTTGGTACACCCCAAATGATGGGATTAACTCTTGAAATACTGAGTCCTTTTCTTAAAGCATTTTAAACAATGTGTTCTTGTACTTATTTTATGTTGTATACTGATATTTTAAGAAGAGGTCAGGCTGTGATTAACACCTAAGGTAGGTCCATTCCGTATTAACTTGGATATATGATTTCAAAATACATTGCGGATGGTTTATGTTGTCCCAATACATTAAGTGACATGATGTGTGTTCATATATTTGTTTTATATAAACTTTTTTCAGGTCAAGACTAAAGTTGAAGACTTTAAAGACAACTTGCCTTTAATCCAAACCTTGTGCAACCCAGGTCTACGAGACCGTCATTGGGAACAGATTTCAGATGCAATTGGTTTTCCACTTCGTGCTGATGACAACACTACACTGGCTAAGATCATAGACCTGAGCCTTGATGAGTTTGTGTCTCAGTTTGAATTAATAAGTGAATCAGCCAGCAAAGAATACAGTCTGGAAAAAGCCTTGGAAAAAATGATACAAGAATGGGATGATGTAAGATTGCTATTTCCAATACAGTACTTCCCACTTCTCACAAGACTAGCTATTCTCATTTATTGCTGCCTTCTATATGCAAACTTTTTTTATTACGCATGCCACAAGCCTTCTGCACCCTCCCCTATTGGAATCAAATAATTCCAATGTGTCTCTCATGCAAGTCGTCATGCATCACCTATCCACCAATAGGAGCACAGTACACTCACATGATGCATATGACTCCCTCTGTGCATCTCTACTGAACTATCACTTCTTGTTTGGCAGTGCTTGCACTCTTTCTTTTTTCGTCTGCTTTCGTGTTTGAGACCGTATTTTCTCTAAGTGGTTTAACTTAATATAAAATACAGTTGTTGTTTTTTTTTAGATTATTTCACTTACCCTTATTCTCCTCACATTTCTTATTTACTTCGAACGCTTTTGTCAACTACATCACCATGAATCTCTAAGTTAATGTCACCACTTTGGGTGTCACACACTTGACAGGCACTAGTGACCCGATGGGAGATTTGTCTACATTTATTTGCAGGGAGATTGAACATTATATGGGTCAACCTTTATCTCCAGACATTGCCTCTCTTCCTTCTGAACCTGTGGAATCTGGTCAGGTTGATGAGGACTTTGATCACCTGTTTCCACCTCCTGATTTTCCCATACCCTCCCTGAGGATTGTGTTCGGCCAGCCACGATTTTTTCGGACTTTATTTCTCAGGTATGAGATTTTTTATCCCTTGCTCCTATATCTTATGACCCTCATCCTTTGTTATTGTATGAACATACTTACCAACCCTATTTAATGTTCCCTGATGTTTGGGTTCATGCTAACCAATTCCCCTCTGAGATGGGTGATGGTGTTAGTATGCCTCATCCCCAACAGGCTTTGGATCAGTTAGCCTTCGCATTTTATGGGACATACTGTCCATATCTCGACCAACAGCTGTTAGATTCGGTTTTGCCCATTTGGGGGATAGGCCCCGAATCTCCTGTTAGTCTCACCCATGCCCACATGTGCTTCCTTCTGTGGACTCTGCACGATCAATGGAACCTTGTTCGGGATCCCATCACCCTTCCTCCCTCCCTTATAGACGATATCCTATGGTGGTTGGAAAAGACTCAAACAACAGTTCATCCAAGATTGGGCACACAAATTCTTATATGTTTATCCTCCTATCCAGTTACTTCATCGGGTAGTTTCCCTGATCCATGCCACTCTGTGCCGGGTCCTTCTGATTGCTTCCTACTGGCCTGCTGAACCACCTACAATTATTCCCTCCAGTAAAACTTCCCTTATTATCCAACCTCCATTGTCAGCCCCAGTCATTGGCTCTACATCTCACACTTCATGTTTTCCATCTTCATGCTTTTGTCTGGTCCTTAGCAAAGAGATCTGGTTTGTCCCGTCATGTAGCTTTTCATCTGGCCCAATCCATCCATTCTTCCTCCATGGACATGTGTCAGCAAAAGTGGAAGGTCTTTTACATATGGGCTTAGGTTTGGGGATTTCTGGCTGCTCCTCCTACTGTTGCTGGTGTCACCGAGTTTCTGATGTGGTTTTTTGATTGGGGGTCTTCAGTCTCCTTGATTTCAGGTTATCAGGTAGCTTTATCCCATTACCTTAGGATTTTTCTCTCACTCGTCCTTACCGTGTTAATCCTTTCCTTCCAGATTCGGTGACATGCCATTACTAGATTGGGATATGATTGTGGTTCTCCATTCCCTTATTTTACCTCTGTTCAAACCTATATCCTTGTAAGCTTTGTTTCACCTGTCCCTTAAGGCATACTTCCTTCTTTTGGCCTGTGGGTGTCGACAGTCTGACTTGTTCACCATCAACGTTAAATGCACACTTTACTACCATTTTTATCTTCTCCTTCATCTGAATCGTTCCTTCCTCCCTAAAACCTCAGCAGCTCATGAGGGTAACTGCTCCATTTTGACTACTTCCCTACCATGTATTTCTCATCTATACCCTCTTCCCGATCTGGATAGACTTGTATGTCCTGTACATGCCCTTCATTATTATATTGCTCACACAGCCACCTTCCATGGTTCCCGTTCCTGCCTCTTTATACCTTGTACTGTGTTACCTCTCATCAAAATTTACACCTCACCTTTTCCCTCACTTCTCGTCTTCATCGACCTCCAGAGGAAATTTTACAATTGAGCATGTGGATGAACCCTGACACGTTTATCTCCCATTATTTACATTATATTGCAGTTTCGGCTTCCTCTGGTCTTCACCTTCCACCTGTAGTTGTACCTCAGACTTTGGTGCTACACTGACACTGGGTAAGTCTTTATTAATCAATTATTTTCTTTCTGAGCCCAATCTTCATACCTTTATTACCTGGATCACTCTCTGTGGTGAGTGGTGCCTGGCCAGGTATTCTTTAACCCTTTTGAGATGGGTCACATGTTAAAGGCTATGTCATCTCGTTTGTTGACTCACATTCAACAAAAAAATGGCATGAGAGAAACATTGCTTTAAGAAACCTTAAAATCTCTTGTAGGTGATTAAGCTCACGATATTTAATTCATAAATTGGCCCATCCTAGACCGTACCACCCATAGACTTCCTGGGTAAAGCAGAAGAGGATAGATGCCCATCCCTGCCATGCCTTGATTAAATAAATCAGTGTGGTCTACTTTTCAAAATAGGTTTCGTGATCACCCATTGCATTGTCTTGGGTATTGATGTTCTTCCAGGCTCTCCAATGCATTCTCACTCTCCTTTCTTCTAGTGTAGTATGGGAGTCCTTACCAGTGCCAAGCTCCTGGGGTGGTTCACCATAGAGGCACCCTGCTAAATAGGTTCCACATAAAATGGCTATAACCATTCAATTCAGTGTAGGACGATGGTGTTCTGCCTGTGTAGATGACGTACTATCCTCCAGTTTGTGATTACACATACAATGGAATGAGACATCAAAAGGCAGTTCACCCCTTCAATTCGGAGCCCTCTTCCTACACTAATATGGATGCCGGTACACCGCAGGCTGGTTTTGGATTTTGAGTGAACCAATCAACTTAACTCCTCACACAGGTTTTGGGTTGTCTATCTTCCTCCCTCAATTCCTCAATGTGTTGTGGGTCACAGTTGAGATACATGTGAATTTTCCGGCTCTCCCTCGTTCTCTCTTGTTACATGGATGTTACTGCTCTTTGGATGGTCCTGACCTGTTTCACGATCATGGGAATTGATCGTATGCGATAGACTTCGTGTTGATACTGGATGTCACATTTCTGGATCGATAGTTCAGAGCTCATCCTGTGTAATTCCCAGGAATCGGAGTAGTTCTTAATTCCCCAGTTCTTGGGATTCAGGTGAAGACAGTATGATCCTTATCCTACCCTAGCCCTAATGTTGGTTTTGGATGTAGTTGAATTGCCGAGTACAGTCTGCCATGTGCTAGCCACTCTACACTATGAGACGCATCTTCATTTACCAATTCTCTTATTGTGGGGAGTTACTATATCTTTCTCTGGTTAGGATCACTTTCCTACCACTTTCTCTCCCACTAGACTGTGCTCCTCTCATTTTCCATCCTGATTTTTACACATTCCTCAACTGGGCAAAGAGTAGACCTCAATCAGAAATGGTGCGGTTCCCTCTCCAGATCTTCTTATCTGACTCTCTCATCTACAGGGGTATCCTTCATACCCTTCCTCCCCACTCACTTCTGGTGCTTTTATCATCTGCCAAACTTTGAAGTGATAGTTTGGTGGAGGCACATAGAGGGAGTTACATGAGTGTACTATGGTCCTATTGGTGGATAGGTGATGCATGATGGTTTACATGAGAGACACATTGGAATCATTTGATTCCAATAGGGGAGTGCGGAAGTTTGTAGTATGCGTAATAAAAAAGTTTGCTTATAGAGGGCAGCAATAAATGAGAATAGCTAATCTTGTAAGTGGAGGAAAGTACCTATCGAAATTACATTTTCAGTATAAGAAAATTATAACTTTTTTTAAAGGTTCCAAGTCACACCACTATTAAAACTATAAAATAATTTAAAGAACTCATCATTGATTTTTAAAAAAGAATTTATAAAATGAATAGGTACATATTTATATAAATTTGAGTTCTTTATATAATTACTGGTACTTAGTGGTCATAAAAAATGTTTGTTTTTGGTAATTCAGTATTGTTAACAACTTTCAGATGGAGTTTGTCATGGTGCCATATCGAGAAACAGGAACCTATATACTCTCATCTGTAGATGATATTCAACTTCTCTTGGATGATCACATTGTTAAAACCCAAACTATGAGAGGTTCACCTTTCATCAAGCCCCTTGAAAAAGAAATTAAGTAATACGTGCAACATGTTAATATATTGTGATTACATTAAGATGTTGCTCACTTACCTCCTTGACAGTGTGGTAAATGAGGCTGCAAAAAATTTAATTTGTTATTTAGTTTTGATTATCAGTTACATAGTTTATGGGCATTCTCAATATTATTTTTAAAAATAAGTGCAGGTATAATCATATACACTTGTATATGTTGTTTCCATAAAGAAAACTATATATATATAGATATGAAAAATCAGAAATGACTGTGTTTGAAATAATAGTGTGATAGCACTATTATACTAAGGAGTAATGTTTACTATGTTTTTGCAAAAGCTTATAGATAGAACTGCATAAATATAAAAAAAGGTTTGATAAGATACTTTTTTAGCAAATTAATTATGTTCTAATGATTTTGTTTGTGTTAAATATTTCTTTTATTTTACAGTAAACACTATATACATATATATTTCAAATTTTGAAGTATTTTTACTTTTTTTATTTTTCATTTTCGTAGAGAGTGGGAACACAAGTTATTGATGCTACAAGAGATAATTGATGAGTGGTTAAAAGTTCAAGCTACATGGTTGTATCTAGAGCCAATCTTTAGCTCCCCTGATATTATGGCTCAAATGCCAGAGGAGGGAAGGTATGCACTACAACTATTCTAACATTTCATTGATGATTTCAGAATTCTTAGAAGCATAATTTATTGCTTGTTTGAATAAAATGTATACATCATTCTTTGGTCTCTAATTTTTTATTCTGTTTATATATATATACATATATTGTTTAGTATTTTAGACATAAAATATTATTAGTGCTTTATGTAATTTAATTATATTCATATACTTATAAAGTAAAACAAAAGAATGTAGTTGTGATAAAAATAAGATGCAGTTATTAGAAATGTTCCAACACTTTAAATGTTTTTTTATGTAACTATTTTAATAATTGCATTATCTTAATACACTTATCATTCAATACAGACGCTTCACAACTGTTGACAAAAACTGGAGAGACACCATGAAGGCTGCTGTTGTAGACCGACATGTATTGGCAGTTCTCCAGGTTGAGAAAATTCTAGAGAAACTGAAGAAATCCAATGAGTTGTTGGAACTGATTCAAAAGGTAAAATTGTAACCTTTTTACTGAAACTGTTTAGTATCATTCAGAAGGTAATTTTAGTATACTAAGTGGCAATTTTCACCTTAGGGACAGTCCCCATCTAACATAAATTTCAAAAAGTGCCTATAAAAAAATTCAAGTAAACAAAATTGGCAAAAATTTCTCCCTACCTAAGTTAAATAAATAAAAATGTATATATATATATAACTTAAGTAAACAAAATAGTTAATTCTTTTTTCACTTGTTTATATATATTATAACCTTAAAATGTCCTGAGCACTCAGCTGCTATCACCTTCACTTCAGTACTGCTATATAAGTTTTATAGGAGTCTGGCTCAAGACATCCGGCCAATTGGTGGGAATGCCCCTCCTTACACCCACTTCATTGCTAACTTTTACTCCAACTTTCAGACTCCACATGTGTAAACAAACTGCTGACATATGCATGTCACCCATGTGCTAGATGTCATTTGGGGACCACTCCACTTATCCCCATATTTGCTTGCCACAACATTCCAATTAGTGATGTAATTGTTTTGCTATTATCAATGTGTTTTGAGTAAGGTTTTGTGCATAATTGACTCTTAAAATGAACAAAGTGGATTGTTTATTACAAATTAAGCTCAGTACATTCACATTATTATTATTATTTTACTTGAGTTTAATGAAACTGTCATTCTGAAATGGAATATAAAAAGAAAGACTACTTTCATTGTTTTTTTCCTCCCCTGGCTATGCCTTAAGAACCTCTCGTCTTGTTGAGAAGAATTTTCAGACTTCCTCACAATATTAGGACCTTATCACACTTATGATGCTTCCCATTCCCTCTATCATAACCCTCAACCTAACAAATTTTGTTTCCCCCCTTCTCCTAACATTACTTACTTTTTAGATCAACTCTGTTCCCATGATCGTATTCCTCATCCTCCTTGCCTTTCTGATTCTTTATCATGGCCTACTGTCAATCGAACTTCCCCTCCTGTAGTCACAGACCTTGAAGTCTCTTTTACCTGTCTGGAGGCAGACCTATTGGGGTTGGTTTCACTCTCCAGTACTCAATTCACTCATCTGTGCCTAATACTACTTTCTGTACTTCATTACATTTCCTCTCTTCACCGCATGTCAGAAGCACTTCACCTAGCCCCAGATAACTTTGCTGGCAATTCCTGTTCACTTCTTCTTTCTACCATGGCCCATACTACTTTTTCTGCCCTTTCCCTGCTCACTTTGATCATTTGTTGTTAGGACTTGTTAGGTAGTGATACCCTTTTTTCCTGTGTTTGTCTTCCCTTTTCCTTTTTACAGAACCTCTGCTTCACACCATTTCTTCAACCTTTTGTTTTTAGAGGTATTCCTTTCCTGCTTCAATTAAATCATGAGCAGAAGCTACCAGGTATCAATCCTCACTAACTTCATTGGTTACTTGCTTATCCCAATCCCCCATTTCACTCCTATGTCTCATCCTAGTCCTCCCTCTTCCCATATTTCTTTCCCCTCTTCCTATCCTTTTCCTTCTACCTGACAGTCTTCAGCCCAGTGTCAGACTTACCAGGCTCATTGGTGAGTATGGAGCAGATTCATATCTCATGGGGGCTCATTTATTGTCATTTGCACATTTTTGTTTACAACAATCTGCAGACAGATGGGTTGCACTTGTTTTCTCTCATGGATTTTCCCTCCAATTCTCCTCCCCCCTCTCAGTCTACACCTGTTCAACTTCCCTTCTCCCTCAGATCCCATCTACAATGTTTGGAAGCTGCCATGTCAGATCTATTGCACAAACAGGCTATAGATAAGGTACATGACCCTTCAACATGATTTTATTCTCGGCTCTTCATGGTCTCCAAGAAGACTGGGGATTTCTGGCTGGTCATCAACCTTTTCTTCTCAGTTACTAGATGGTCATCCCTAATCTTGATATGGAAAATTCCTTTTCCCTCTGTTGGTCCTTTTTCCCCTGGAATTTGGATGACCAAGGTCGACTTCTTGGATGTGTTCCTTCATAATACCAATATTCAGTCTTCCAGTTCAGGACTGTTTTGATTGGCATTACATTGGCCTCCTATATCTTTAACAGGGTGGTCAGGGTCTTTGTGTGCCATATGAAAGGACTCGGTCTACAATTCCATTATTACATGGATTATTGGCTTCTTCTGTCCAATTCACAGGAAAATTCTTACACTCATACCTGTGTTCTTCTGTGAGAAACTGTTTGTTTAGGGTGGCTTGTCAGAACTTCCAAATCCTTTGTTACCCCACAAAATACCTTGTTCACGTGGGAGTATTTTTCAATTCCTTTCTCAGTTAGGCTGAACCTTCTCCTGTCTGCCTGCAAATGCTCGAACATTCTATCACCAGAATGCAAGCCTCTCCTACGCAAATTGCTCGTGAGGTTCTATTGCTTTTGGTAACTATGGCTTCCATGGAACCACTTATTCCACTGGGCCATGCTTATATATATGCCTTCTGATATGGTACTTCCCTCCTCACACAAGATTAGCTATTCTCATTCATTGCTGCCCTCTGTATACAAACCTTTTTATTATGCATGTCACAAGCCTTCCACACACCTCTATTAGAATCAAATGATTCCAACTTGTGTCTCATGCAAATTATCATGCATAACTTCTCCATCAATAGGAGAATAGTACACTCACATGACGCATGTAACTCCCTCTATGCACCTCTACAGAACTATCACTTCTTGTTTGGCAATGCTTGCACTTAAACATCACTCTTTTTTAGTCTTGATTAGTGTTTGAGATTGAATAAGTTCTCGAAGTGGTTTAATTTTGCATATTCAGTTTTTTTAAAATCATTCATGTTCAATTGCCCATCTTCTAGTTGCATTTATTTCTTACTTCAATTGCTATTGTCGACTGATACAAACGTGAATTCCGAAGTTAATGTCACCACTTCAGGTGTCTCACATTCGACAGGCACCTTACCACAGGCTTCATCTGCTGATGACTCATCAGAAGATTTCTCTACATTTATTCTCAGACATTGCCCTAGTTCCTCCTGAACTTGTGGAATGTAGTCATGTTGATGAGGACTTTGCCTGTTTTCACCTCCTCAATTTGCTGTGCCTTCCCATACCCTTCCCGAGGATTTGTTCAGCCTTCCACAATTTTCTCAGACTTTATTTCTCAGGTATATTATGTTTTAACTATTTCTCCCATATCTTATGACCTGCGTCCTTCATTACTGCATGAATATACTTCCCAACCCTTTTTGGTTTACCTTCCATCCACCAAACATTCGGGCTCATACTGAACAATTTGATAGTGTTAGTATGCCTCATCCCCACAGGCTTTGGATCAGTCTGCCTTGGCATCTTCATGTCTCAACCAACAACTGTTGGGTTCAGTTTTCCCTGTATGGTGGGTGGGCCATGAATCTTCCATTAGTTTCACTCTTTCCCAATTTTTCTGCCTCCATCTTACCCTCACGACTCTTTTGTGGTACTTTTCCACAATTTATCTCCTGTCTGAGGCTCTTCACAGAAATCCTGAGGGATTTTCTGTGGACATTCTCTCCCCTACCCCCACATTTATCGTCAATGTGGTTTATCTGTTGTTGGGGACTTTTTAGAAGATGATTCTGTTTTATTGAGAACCCATTTACCTGCTTCTTATCTCCGGGATTTGCGTATAGCTCATGTTTAAAATGTTTTGTTTTTTATATGGTCCCAGAATCCTTGGAGTCTCAGGTGGCATCTGTCAAGCAACCATCTACCCTTTCCCATCTGGTAGCCCATTTATCTCAGTTGGAGCAAATTCTGGTTTTCCGATCTTCCCCTTACCAGTCCTTACCTGTCCCTCTTTTTCATGGTGCCACAGCTCGTTTTTCTCGATGATGTCACCAGTTCCAGTGACTACCTGGTGGGCTTTGGGCATAGTGGAAGCTTGTCTTGTGATCTTTCTTTATCGGTGGTGTCCTTTCATCAGAGGGATTTGACATTCTATTTCTTGTCCCACCTCCCTTATCCCAAGTACCTATTTCCTTCCCTTCTCCTCTGGATCCCATAACTTGCCAGCATCTATCAGAGGTGGTACAGGACCTCCTCACCCACCAGGCTATCGAACCTGTTCCAATTCACTTACCAGGGTTTTACTCCCATCTATTTTTTGTTCCTCAAAAGCCCAGGGACTGGATGCCTGTCATCAATTTGTCCCACCTCAATTGATTTGTTCACCTCCAACATTTCACAATAGAGTCCTTCCTCACTCTTTGGTGGGCATTTTCTATGGGTCTCTGGATGACCAAGATGGACATCTCCAATGCTTATCTGCATATTCCCATCTCCAAACAATCTTTTCCTTACCTTCGGTTTGTCCATCATGGGGTGGTGTAGCAAATTTATGCCCTACCCATCGAGCTGGCTTCTGCATCTCATGTTTTCTGCTGGATGGTGAGAGCTTTTGCTCTTCATCTTCATGCCCTGAATATGCATTTCCGTTTTAAATGGACAATTGGCTACTTCTGGTCCATTCGAAACAGGAGTCAGATAGTCATACTAGTCAGCTCCTTCTTGAAGCTGGGTAGGCTGGTTGATCAAAATGTAGAAGTCCTTCCTGCATCCTACCTAATACCTTGTGCATTTGGGTGTCTTTTTCCACACTCACCTCAGTCAGGTCCAACCTCCTCCTCTCCAACTCCATTCTCTGGAATTGTCAGTTTGCCATGCCCCATCTGCTCCCTCACTTTCTGAATGCTAGGTTCTATTGCTTTTAGGGATGTAGTCTTTTATGACACCACTAATCTCCCTTGGCCATGCATGCATGGGATCCCTTGGATGCTCCCATAACACTTCCTCCTTCACTTGTAGACAATGTCCTTTGGTGGTTGGACAAGACTGACACATTGGTGGGTGTCCCACTTCCTCCTCCTTGTCTGGACTTACATCTGTTTAGAGATGCATCCCTTCAGGGCTGGGGTGTGTTGGTCGATCACCTAGAGCTCCTAGCCATTCGTCGGGCTTTGGATAATTTATTTCCCA